ACATGTTTCGAAATTCTGATACATATTGATGTCCTTATGCTGTATAGAAAGTTTCAGTTAATTCTGACTTCAATTTTTCAAGTTATGGCCGTTTTTTAAAAATGGCCAATTTGTGAAAAATAACCAAGGCTATAGCCCATGTTTTTTTTCAAAAAATGGCTCCGAAATCACCCCAAATTTTTATTTCATTTTCTGATACATATTGATGTCCTTATGCTGTATAGAAAGTTTGAGCTGATTCCGATTTCAATTTTTCAAGCTATGGCTGTTTTTTTAAAAATGGCCGATTTGTGAAAAATAACCAAGGCTATAGCCCATGTTTTTTTTCAAAAAATGGCTCCGAAATCACCCCAAATTTTTATTTCATTTTCTGATACATATTGATGTCCTTATGCTGTATAGAAAGTTTGAGCTGATTCCGATTTCAATTTTTCAAGCTATGGCTGTTTTTTTAAAAATGGCCGATTCGTGAAAAATACCCAAGGCTATATAGCCCATGGTTTTTTTTTCAAAAAATGGCTTCGAAATCACTCCAAATTTTTATTTCATTTTCTGATACATATTGATGTCCTTATGCTGTATAGAAAGTTTGAGCTGATTCTGACTTTAATTTTTCAAGCTATGGCCATTTTTTTAAAATGGCCGATTTGTGAAAAATACCCAAGGCTATAGCCCATGGTTTTTTCAAAAAATAGCTCCGAAATCACCCCAAATTTTTATTACATTTTCTAATACATACTGATGTCCTTATGCTGTGTAGAAAGTTTTGAGGTGGTTCTGACTAAAACTTTTTGAGTTATGACCATTTAAAAAATGTTCTTAACAAACATTTCTCACCATCTGAAACTGATTTCTTTGGTTTCTTAGCGACTGGTTTAAAGTCATCATCATCATCATCATCAGGACTGTCTCCTGGCTCCTAGCTCCCAATCATTGTTTTCATCTTTCATTCCATTCTCATCATCACCATCATCAGACGCTGGAGACTTCTTCCTCTTAACCTGTAACACAAGTACAACAAAAAAAAGGTTAAAAATATCAATAAATTTAAGGGAATAAGGAAGGATACCCTGAGATTTTTTAAAAACATATAAACATGTAAATATACAGTACACATATATGAGTTAATAATTGACAGCTAAATGTAGTATATGACACATGTACATGTACTTATACTTATTATATTATGGGCCATAATAAGGTCTAGCTACATGTACACAATAGAATGAAGCTATATACATGTAGTGGTCTCTACATGCATATACTGTACATATACACATCTTCATACATGTACATGTACATGGAAAAGTACAAGGACATACAACAGTAGGTACACATGCAATGAATAATACTTGTACTGTACATGTAATGCACATACATGTACATGCAATTATTAATATAATACATGTATTATACAATATTCATTGCAATATAATATAAAATATAATATCCTATTCACATCAGGCCTGGGGTAATAGTAATATGTAATAGTAATAGAATCTTTGGCAACAGGAAGTAATAGTAATAGTAATAGTAATAATGGTCAAAGTAATATGTAATCTCAATATTACATAGCTATTACTTGCAGTGTTACACTAATAAGTAACAATAGGAAAATAGCACGTTAGCCAGGAACTATTGCTCAGTACTGAGACTTTTTATCATAAATATAACAAAGCATTCTTAATTAGAAACTATAAAATGGCTTAGACTAACTTCAAAATTAGATTATTTTTATAAGTAACCTGTAAAAATCTATGGCGCATTGTAATAGTAATTGTAATAGTAATATACTTTGTTGTAATAGTAATAGTAATAGATTACTTTGAAAAAAGGCTATAATAGTTATAGTAATATAATAGTTAAAATTTTCAAGTAATAGTAACAGTAATAGATTACATTTAATTGTAATTGACCCCAGGCCTGATTCACATGTACATGTACTTCTCTCCTTCCCTCTATTGCTCTTACTCCTGCTTTCACTTTCACTTCTCTATCCACTGGTGGAGGTTTAGGAGGCGTGGCCACGTCATACTCCATTTTGACATCAACAGGTGGTCTGGGAGGAACATTTCTCTTAACAGGAGTGGCAGGTGGCTCGGGCTTCACAGTAACAGGAGGTTTCTTGGTAGGCTATAGAAGTAAATAGGATAATTATAAATACAGTGTGTGTGTTAATGAGTGTAGGTTAATGTACTGGTGGTATAAAGTCATCATCACTATCACTCTCTGTTATCATTGGCTTCCTTCTTATTGAACTAGGGGAATCCTTCTTCTTAGGAGTTCTGAAAGGAAGAGAGAGAGAGAGGGAGAGAGAGAAAGAGGGAGAGAGAAAGAGAGGGAGGGAGAGAGAGAGAGGGAGAGAGAGAAAAACAAATCAAGAGTAGGAGGAAGGATTATAAGAAAGGAAGGAGGGATCAAGAGAGGAAGGAGGAGGAAGCAAGAGTGTAAAAGAGAACAAAGAAAGTGAAAATTGAGTGAGAGAGAGTTAATGTGAATAAGGATTGAGTGAGATAAAGTGTAACTTACTTTTCAGATGAGGATCTCTTAACTCCACCTAAACCAATTAACCAAAGAAAATGATATACAATGTAAATAAACTGTACACACTACACTAAGCTAAGTACATATACATTAATACAATAATACATATGTACATGTAATACAGGAATACTGATACCAAATAGTATTTTAATATCATTTAAGACTATAATACATTGTACATGTATGTGTATGTACTGTACACATAAAATTGAGAATGCTTACCTGAAGATTTTGTCTGTGGTGATTAGAGAGAGAGAGCATACAAAAGAAAAAAAGAAAAACAAGTTTTTATGTACATGTATATACATGTATTTACTATTTAAAGTATTGCATACAAGTTATACTTACTTTCTTGTCCATCCTGAAGATAAATTACTCACTAATTAAACTATTTCATCTAAAAATCTAAAAAAAGAAAAACAAAAT